TAGGGCATACAGTTTTAAGGTTCCCAGCTTACCACTGTATATTTAATCACATTGAACATGTTTTTCCCCGTGTTAACTCCAATGTCCTCAAACTTATAGAAACCGAAGTTTTTAAGATCCGCCACAAAGTTGGGCAAATTCTGTTAAACATATAGAAAAAGCAGAACAATTAGAACAGACGATGATAGCGATAGTGATACTGATATATTATGTGAAAATAATGAAGTAATTTAAGTAGGTAATAAAAATAATTTGTAATTTTTGGATTTAAACATAAATACATAAATATTTTTTAGTACCTTTCCTAACAAAACCCCAAATAATTAAATTCTAAGCAAAGTACGGACCTGTTCGGCCATATTTCATTCTTACAGCTTGCCCGGGTCTTTCCTTAATTCGTATCAGTTAGTCACTTTCTTATATCTATGAACAGACTTTACTTCGAGAGTAGATCAATCAATTTTTTTTTTAATTATTCACTTATGTCCCTGTTCTGTAGTTGGATTTATCCTGTTGAACAGTGTATCTAAATCTAAATAAATCTAAATAAATAAAAAAATAAATAGTCCCCGGACATGCCCCCCCCCCGCTATGCTATGAAGAACTTCAGGCTATACCAGATTGGCATAAGTATATTATATCTGGGGGGTTGGGGGGATTACTTTCAAGGGGGCACCATTAATTTTGACGAATAACTAAATACTTTTTAAGTCACATTACTTTTTGAACACACCTCGTGCATCGTCTTATATCGGATACCCTGTAGACGCGTTTTTATTTTAGTTTAAATTATTCTAAGTTCAAACTAGCCAGGGTCGGCAGTTTTAAATTTACGAGCGTCCAATGCGAGTGGGGAAAAAACCCGTACTTATCTCGCGCGAAGCGCGTTTATTAATCATAAAAAACGCGTTAACGAGGAAAGCACACCTGGAAACGGCGTTTCCCGGTACCCGCGCGTTCGCTATTATTTTTGTTTTCGACTTCAAGGCCGCGGATTCGTATACGGGGTCGATCGAAACTGAACCGCATTAAAAAAAAAAAAAAAAGCGCCCAAAGGTTAAACCGCGAGTATTGTTTTCGACACGGGTGAAAGTCGAATTATTAACGTCGTCGGTTTGTAAATAAATGTCGTTGAAGCGCGTTGCGCAATTGGAAAACACAAACTTTGACCCGCGCTTCATACATATACATACGTACGTGTTCCGATATACGAGGGTTGCGAGAGTAATATTCGCCGCTTCCATGGTGCCAAGCTTATTAACAAGACGCAATTTTAGGGCAATTTTAGGCAAAATTGGTTTTTTTTGTTATTTTTTTTTACCAATTACACCCATTTTGGATTGGTGCAATTGCGGTTAAAAAGAATTACGAGGAACCCGACGAAATTTCAACTTATTCCGAGTTAAATTAGTGTGAAGAGAAACTCGTAGGAATTCCGATTAATTTCAGAGGAACTCCGAATTGAAAAGGATACCGAAAGCTTTCAACGAATTTCAGAAGAATTCCAAGAATTCTAAAGCAGTTAACAAGAATTCAGACGAACTTCATCGATTTTTCAGTTATTTCAAAGGAATTCCAAGTTAAGCTAAAGTGAAGAGAAATTCGAAGGAATTTTGAATAATTAAAATGAATTCCTTGGAACTCGTAGAAATTTCAACTAATTCCAGAGGAATTCCAACAATTACAAAACAATAAACCAGAATTTCAAGGATGTCGATGGAATTTCTGAAGGATGGAAATCTTGAAGGAATGTCGGAGTTGAGAATTCCAAGGAATTTCAAATAATTGCCATAATTTCAGAAGATTTAAAACGAATTCCGAGGAACCCGGAGGAATTTCAGAGGAATTTCCACTAACTCCGAAAGAACTTAATGAATTCTACAGAATGTCAATGAAATTCAGAGGGACAAGAAAGAATTTCAACTTAGTCCCAGGGGAGAACTCCCAGCAGCTTGAATACATTTCAGTTCCAGACGATTTCGGAAAATTACAAATTCCAACCCAATTAACAAGAACTCCAAGAAGACATTTCAATTCCACGCTAATTCCAAGACCAATTCCAGAGGAATTAAAAGAGTTCTAAGGCAGTTAACAAGAATTCAGATACATTTATTTCACAATTAAATTAACTAATTTCAACTAATTCCGAAGGAATTCCGAGTTAACAAGAATTCGAACAAACTCGAAGAAATGTTGAATAATTCCAAAGGAATTTCGAAGAATTTTAGAACATTTAAAAAGAATTCCGAGGAAATCGAAGACATTCAACCAACTCCGGACGAATTACGAAAATTAAATCCAACAAGCCAGAATTTCAAGGAACGCGATGAAATTTCAAGTAATTCTCGGAGGAATTTCAACTAATTCAACAGGAATTCCGCCAATTTTAAGAATTTATAAGAATTCAAGAGAAACTAAAACGAATTCAAAGAAACTCGAAGGAATTTCGAATAATTGCAAGAATTTCAGAGCAGTTAAAAATAATTCCGAGGAACTCGCAGGAATTTCAACTAATTTCAGATTAATTCCAAGAAATCTAAAGCAGTTAAGACGCGTTCAGGAAAACTCGCAGGATATTCCAATTATTTCAAAGAAATTCTGAAGGATTTCGGAGCAATTAAAATGAGGTTAGAAGAACTCGAAGGAATTCTGAGTTAAACTAGAGTTCAGAGAAACTCGAAGGAATTGAGAATCATTCGTAAAAATTCCAAGAATTGCATGGCAGTTAAAAAGAATCCCTGGGAATTCAACTATTTTCAGAGGAATTGCGACCCCGTCGCGGTATTTTTATGGCGAAACCCCCCGCCCCGGTACTGCGGGGCCGTAAATTAGAAACCATTCGTTTTTCGAAAAAAAAAAACGCGTTCGCGACGTTTCGCAAACGGCCACAGGCCCCGGTAAAAACGAAATTAGGCAGACATATCGTTAACGGTAAAACGAACGAAATACGGGCAAGAAATGAGAGATTTTCATTGTCGGTACTCGCAGGCAAAGCGGAAAAAAACAAGTAGATTTCTATCTACGTTATAGCCTGGACAAGTAAATTAGATATTAGTTTTTGCAACGACAAAGCGGTCGGTCGGAACAAATCCGGCACGGAGAAAGAGGAGCCCCCCTCCGCACCCCGCAAAACGTTCTGTGAAGGTCACTTTTGCTTAAGCATATTCGGGCGGCAGAAGAGGGTTTTTAATCTGGCGTTCGCGATCGCATGGGACGGCATTAATAAAATACAAAAGTCACATGTACGAAACCAGATCTCACAACGATATTTATAATTACAATATCAGAACTAATAAAGGACATTCCAATCCGGTATTTCAAGCAGCATGTACTTATAATAAGCTTTCAGAAAATTCAACAAATACAAATAAACATATTAAATTTGTGAAACCGTCCCGTTGCGTTTCCTGTGTTGGTCGTAATAAAAAATGTTAAAAATTTTAATAGTGATTTAATTTTTTTTTTCTATTTTTGTACTTGTGGCTTTAATCCCTCAGTTTAACCGTAACTTCCACAGTATCTGTTAACCACGGTGGTCTCTGAATATTTATTTTAACGAGCCAAAACGTACTGATATTCCTGATTAGATTATTAAAATACGATACGATACCAATAAGTCTATCCATGCGTTTTAACTCCGAGAACAAATTTAAGGTCTAATGTATCCAGTATTAAAAAACACGTCGGCAAATACGTGATTAAATTTTTCTCTATGCGCTAACCACAAGTACCGATAAAAATAAAACTTTGTTAGAATTTGCAAACGCTGAGGAGAGTTGTTCGCGTCTTCGGCTACATATACAGGGCGTGTCGGAATATTTCCGTTAAAATTTGGATACCACTTGAAGTTTTAACGTTTTTTAATTACAACCATTGCATTGCCGAGGTATTTGACTCAAAAAGAATTAAAGGCGGCTATGGAAGATATCGTGATGGATGAGGACAATAACAATGAAAGTCGTCAGTATTATTTCGATTTACGTATTCTTATGCATTGTAGCATTCCATGTTCAAAAAACAGCCGAAAATCGCGAAAAAAAGATGCATACCGGCGTCGGATCAGGGCCATTTCTTATGTGCCTCGCGGAGGGTTAAAAAAGAGGCAAATTTTAATTTTGTAGCTCCTAGGGTTCGAAAGTTATTCAGGAAAAAAAATATAAAAAAATTTTTTTTTCGACGGTAATCATTTCTATAACAATCCCATAGGAGCTACCGTTACCGTGATATAAACTTTTTATACGACCGTAGATACTGTCGAAAAATTCGATTTTATTTATTTTGCGAATGTAACAAGGGTAGTTGCAGGAACGGATGTTTTTCCAAAGGAACTCCCCGACTAAATTTGAAGAAACGGTATAAAAAATCAAACAGCCCCGAAAACCGACCTCGAATTACCGGAATAAAATATTAAACCTTTTTCGATGGATAGGAAGGGGATACGAGGAAAATGGCAGAATTGGGGGGGGGGGGTCTGCTATCGACCCCGTTTTTATTAACCCGCAAGTTTTTTTTTGCAGGGTTCGCAGGGAAAACGGATTACCGGCCTGTAAATCAAGGCCGGCGGGTCTCGGATTTGCATAAAATATGTCGGAAAAATCTACTCTCTCTCGTACTTTTCGAATCCGCGCGGGGGGGGGGGGGAGGGCAAAGTTCGTTAGCTGGACGACCAAGGTCAAAGAATACGCACGGAAAAAAAACGCCCATTAATTAAGAGCGTCGGTACGATGCGGCCGGCGCGTATATATCAAGAACATGTCGGAAGGAATACATTTAAGTATTTTTTCCGAGTTCGTTATTTATCGCACGCAAAACAAAACGATAAAGTGCCAGTTTTACAACGCGATACGGATAAGGACGTCGATAAAACGTGAATTTATTGACGGCGTTTGACATTTCGGCAAAGTCACAAGGCTACTTTGGCGAGCTACACCGTCGGCAACATGGTAATAACGACACCACAACGCTAACCGACGAGACAAAAATAAAAAAAAAAAACGTACCTTTTTGCCGTCGCGAAATTTGACGGTTCCCTCGATAACGCAATTATTGTCACACATAATTATTACACCAGGCTCTCGCGCGCGGTCCAAAATCACATAACGCACAAAACAGATCGCGACTGAACGTAAAAACACACACAAACGCGCCCGAACTGCCGAAAACTGACGCGGCTACGAAGTACGCGAGCCCAGAGATCGAGAGCGCTTACGCAACCTTCTCGACTCGACGGTTGGTGGCGCGCGACTGGCTTCCTCGTCCGTAGCAGCTGACTTGCATCGCGGCGGGCTCGGATCGCGGGTTTGATCGAATGCGCGCCTGCCTTGTGCAAATTCGGCGGCCGGGCGCTTTAATGCACGTTTCGAGTGTCGTTCAAGGTGCAACGATAACAATTATTAATATCGTTCGACGTTCGGTAATAACAGCGGGGCGCGCGCGACACGGACCACCGCTCGTCTCGAGCTCTGACTGACGTATCGCGGATTTCGGTGGTCCGCGCGTTTCTCGGTTAGTTAATTAGTCGCCCGTGGGGGCGCCCCGCGTTAACAAATTCGATAAGTTTCGGGATTAATTAGAAAAGTTTACGTTCGAGGCATTGTGCGTTTGTCGTTTTAAGTTTCGACGCTGTTTCGTCGTCGCGGGTAATTGTTCCGAAACAACTAGCTAGGGCGAAAACGAAGTTCGTCCTACGACTTTGGGCGGAATTAATCCAAGAATAGCGTCGATCGGATGTAAAGGAGCCGGGCGAGGATGGCGGAGAATAATCCGTCAGGATTGTTGCGACGAAATCGCGGAAAAGGGATGACTTTGCGAATTTTTAAAGGCGGCTTTTGAATTATTTAAACGCGTATCAAAAGGAAAATGCTTCACGGGGACCGTTGTTTGCTTTTCTCGATTTGCGCCGTATGCGATGAAGCGAGAATGTTTATAATAAGAAATATTTAAGATAAGAAAAAATAAAGTAAAAGTGAGAACTAACCAAATAGAAATAGTTCGCAGTATTTTAAAAACTGGGGGTGGACTAGATGTTATTCTGAAAAAAAAATTATTTAACATTGTATACTGTATAAATGATTTTTATTTTTTGTACCCTTGTATATGGTACGTATATAATTAAAATGTCTAATTTTTGACATAAAAACAATATCTCAAAATGTCAATTTGGAGAACATGATTCGTCAGTTTTTTCAAAGCAGTCAAATGAATGCCTGCAAATGTTTTATTACTTTTCAATTACTTAACCGTAGCTTCGGTCAGCAGTCTCACTTGGCATCTTCAATGCTCGCGCTCCGAAAAAGTGAGATTTTGGCGAAACGTCTGCAGAATTCCAGTCGGACACAGCTGCGCAGTGACTTTGTGGGCATAATACAGAGCAGACGCTTCGCGCAGTCACGATTTTTCGAAATCGGTCTTGTTTTTTTTTTAAATACCATTTGATGAATAATTATAATTATATAGAAAAAATAGGGGTTCGTTTTAAGACAACAAAAACAACCGCAACAAACAAAGACAGGGAACCGTCCCAAATTAGGCCCGTCATATCAAGTCACTTAAGATGAATAATTACGTGCGGCGGTTAAATATAAACGGTCCCGTGGAGGGACCGGAGGGGGGGGGGGCGTCGTCGAAAAACTGTTATTTTAATGGAAAAACGTAGCCCCTTCTGAAAAAATACCGGAAATATTGTCCGGGTAAATTATTATTTGGGAGGTGAGAGCAAAACAGGCAATTTATATTCGAAACAAATCGAAAACGGAGGTCGGGGGTGCATTATCGGCCAATTTTCCTAAGTCTTTTTCAATTAATTTTTCAATTCCGCTCTACCCGGTCGATGTATGGCCGTTTATTTTGCGGATAATGGCGTCGCCGGATTTTCCGCCGAATTATCCCGCAAAATGTCAATTCACGCCGCATGGAGGCGACGCTACGTCATTTTTTACGGATTAAACTAAGATGGTGGATTTTACTGTTTGATACTTTAAAGAAGAGGAAATTTCCGGCAGAAAACTGAAAAGCCAACTGCAGATTTAAATTTCAAAAAAAAAATTTAGTTACATATATGTATATATGGCATTGCCGAGGTATTTGAGTCAAAATGAATTAAAGGCGGCTATGGAAGAGATCGTGATGGATGAGGACAATAACAATGAAAGTCGTCAGTATTATTTCGATTTACGTATTCTTATGTATTATAGCATTCCAATATTTACAAACAAAACGAGTTTTTAATTTTTTTTGACACATGTAATGCATTTTTAAGTGCAACGAAATAAATAATTTCAGAGCAAAAATGTATTTTTTATTTTTTTTTATGCTTGGGATAATATGGGTTAAAAGCAATACAATTATATGATTGTTTCAGATTTTCAACGCTGAAGCAGTTGGTGCTGTCGGAAGCAATTGTTTCACAATAATAAATTAACTAAGGGATTATTGATTAAAGTAATTTTAGTGTTGAAGACGGCTTAAAGCAACTGGACTGAGACTCTGTAATCTGTATCATACTCCTAAGCGAAACAGATGCAGATGCGAAGGGAAACCGTCGTTACATGTCGTCGTAGATTCGTTTCGTCGGTCGGGCAGGGATCATTATACTCCACATGTTAAAAACAGAAACAACGATGAAGAAAATCCCAACCTAACCAAAAATTGGTTGACTGCTGCTTGTTACTTCGTTTTTGCACAACTTAATCTAATTTAATTGAATTAAAATTAGCATGAAATATAGAACAGAATAACCGCCCTACAGGTAGGTATTCGTTATGTTCGTATTCTATCCCCAACTTAAATTACAGATGTATCCTGTTTTGAGACATTTGCTGCATAAGGAGGAGAATCGACGACGTATCTCAAATCTAAAAAGTGCAAAAAAATAATGAGAAAGATCTGCAAGAGAGGATATAGGGAGCTAGTTCTCAATTTATTTAACGAATCGCTCCCACACCCGGAAAATAGTAATAGGAATTCAAGAATTCCAAAGCAAACAAGAACTGATTGCGCAACAAGTGTCTAATCATTGGATCTGTTCTCTCCAAACTGAACAAGGAAATGGTCAAATTAAAAGAGCTTTTATTGAAAAAGGTGGATTCCCAGGAATCATAGCATTTTCATGCGGTGTGATGATGATGCTATGTCAGCAGAAAAAGATTTCATTCCATAAGAATGCACATAATAAGTGGACGTAACTGATTGATAACTGATGCATTTATATGGCGTGCTTTGGTGGTTGGAAACTCAATATGCTGCAGGAAAGCTGTAGGTGTTTTTATTTTTTGCTCTTCACTATGTATAATATGTGACATAACAATGATTGTTTTTGAATTGATATGATAAAAAGTTGCACTCTTCAGCACTTACTTTATTTTTGCGCCAACCTATGTATTTCGAGGTATATTTTAATCAAAATAAATAAGAACCAAAAGTTCAGATTTTCACGAAATTATATGTTTTTACATGACAATTGTTTCGACAACACCGTGTCTTTATCAAATGTAATATTTACAAACTACCTGCTACTATATATACAGAAAAACGACCATAAAACCTTAATTAATGTTGTTGTGAGAATTTAAGTTCAATAAAGGAGACGTAGTAATTGAGCCGAGCAAGACCATTCTGACAAAACAGAAAATAGGGAAAAAACAGGAACGGATGACTCCAGAAATTTTGAATTTGATGAACGAACGACGTGGTGTAAAAGACAACAACGAAGCATATAAGAATATTCAGAAAGAAATCCGATCACAGATAAGAGAAGCAAAAGAGGTATTCTACAAAAGAAAATGCGACGAAATAGAAGCCCCAGAAGAAAAGCACGACAGCTTCAATGTCCACAAGAAAGTAAAAGAACTGGCAGGGTTACAGAAAAAAAGACAACCGTCAATACTCACTGACCAGAATGGCAAAATTATTATGGAAATGGAAGAGAGAGATATAAACAGAATAGTAACAGAACAAGAAAACAGTGGACCGGAAATAACTAAAGAAGAGGTCATCCATGCAATAAAAATCACAAAAGATGGAAAAGCTGCAGGGCCTGATGAGTTACCCTCTGAAATTCTCAAATTGATAGAAGAGGAAAACATCTAACAGTCTAACAGATCTGTTCAACACCATATACAAAACAGGTATTATACCCAGGGAATGGTTGCTATCAGCGTTCGTCACTATCCCAAAAAAACGTAATGCAAGGCAATGCACAGACTTTCGAACAATCAGTCTAATGAGTCATACGCCAAAAATATTTCTGAAAGTGATACATCACAGGATATACAAAACAGTAGGACAAGATATCAGCGAGACTCAATTCGGTTTCCGAGGTGGCTTAGGCACAAGAGAAGCAATATTTGCCTTGAACGTTCCCGCCCAACGATGTATGGATATTAATCAGGATCTTTATATATGTTTCATTGATTACAACAAAGCCTTCGATAGGGTCCGACACGAACAACTTATCCAGCTTCTGAAAGAGAAGAACTTAGACACCAGAGATATAAAAATTATTACGAATCTTTATTCTAATCAAAAAGCAGTGTTAAAAATAGTCGAGGCGTTAGGCAGGGGTGCGTGCTATCACCGATGTTATTTAACCTTTACTCAGAGGAAATAATGAAACGAGCATTGGATGATGAAACGAAGGACTAAAAATTAACGGAGTGACTATCAACAATATAAGATATGCGGATGATTCGATCCTGATGGCTACCAACCTAAACGAATTACAGATTGCAGTAGACAAAGTTAATACATCGAGTGAAGAGTTCGGACTGTTACTAAACGTAAAAAAGACAAAATTTATGATAATATCAAAAACAGCAAAAAACAATTCACAAATTCATATAAATAACCACTCCGTAGAAAAAGTTGACAGTTATAAATACTTAGGTACAATTGTAAATAAAAATAACGACTGCTCTGAAGAAATCAAAACTAGAATAGGACAGGCGAGAACAACATTTGCGAAAATGAAAAGAGTGCTCCGTGGCAGCGATCTCAGCTTGGATTTAAAAATCAGAATGGTGCGATGCTATGTTTTGTCGGTACTGTACTATGGTGTAGAGGCTTGGACTCTGAAGAAACTGGACATAAGGAAACTGGAGGCGTTCGAAATGTGTTTGTACCGTAGAATACTTAAGGTAAAATGGACCGATAAAGTGACCAACATGGAAATCCTGAAAAGAATAAAAAAGGAAAAAGAAATTATCATTACGGTAAAAAAGCGTAAACTTCAGTACCTTGGACACGTCATGAGAGGAGAAAAGTACCAACTACTCCAACTGATATCACAAGGAAAAATTCAAGGAAAGAGAAGTGTAGGAAGAAGGCGTCACTCATGGATGAGAAACTTACGTGACTGGTTCGGGTGCACCACAAACCAACTATTTCGGTCGGCCGTGTCACGAATACGAATAGCACTGATGATTGCCAACCTTCGCAACGAAGACGGCACCTAAAGAAGAAGAAGAAGAAAGGAGAGGTATTTAAATCTAATTGACCTTTAAGCAATACATTTGAATGTCTCATTTTGTTAATCCCCATGGCTTCCAATAAATTTAATTTTCTACTTTTTGTGGCTGTATGTAAAATATCAAAATTGTCGTCAAAAATGTGTTTTTGTGTTTGTAAACGTATTTTTATATTCGTTAATGCGTTTATTGAAAAATCTACCAGTTTTGTCCAATATAAATTTTAGGACAGAGAGATTTTGGACATTTCGTATTATTGATTTTTAAAAATTTACTTATTGTGTTGTTAGTTCTGAAAGCTATTTTTAAACCACATTTTGACAAATGTTTTGAAACTTTTTCACTGGGTTCTCCTATGTATGTAATTGTTTTAAATTGTTCGTGTTCTA